AACATTTATTATATTAGAAATGTAAATGTTATATACCTAATCTATACAAAAATTTTACTACATGAAATAACTAAGCTAACACTATCCCGATTCATCTATCCGGGGCAATTGATCTAGGTCATGTTGCTCGGCCCTCTGTCTGACACGCCGCCGCCTGTAATGAGTAATGGTGGTGAATGGGTCTAGAGGCGGCGGGGGAGTCAGCTGGCTGGTATCTGGCACCTCCTGGGAGCAGGACGGCGCAGTGCTGTGGAAGGTGTAGTCCTCTGAGAATGTCGGCGTCGTAAAATCACCTCCACAACTACTCTGTCCGAGCTCGAACTGCGAATGCATCGAGTGGCCATCATACGTGTCCCGTTGGGGGACGAGGTAGTCATGTCCATATCGACGCAAGGTGGCCATGCCCATATCCCGAACCCGCTGGACCTCGTTCCCGGTGGGCCCGTCAGCCAGGCTAAGGGACAGCGCGTCAACCATCGATGCCATGTCTGCCGCCTGCAATAATCATTGATCAGTTATGCATAGAAACCTAAAAAGAGATGAAAATTAATCGGTTGGAAGTGAAACTCACATATCCATAAATCACGTCATATGCTGGATGGTAATGGGTGGAGGGAGGTGTGTAGCTGGGGTTGATGAAACGCCGGGTAATCCACTGGTACCAGACCATGTACGGATCGTGAGGCTGGAGGACGCCCTGCATCGGTACACCGCCCACAACGAACTCCAGTCGGCGATGCCAGAGCTCTACGTACGCACGATGCTCCACCGACCAATCCGTCTCTGCCTTTCCTCGTCGGTCAACCCCGTGCAAACGAGTGCTGGTGTCACATGGCTGAGGGACCGGCTGACGTATCCCATATTGCCGCAAGACCCAGTCACAAGCGCTCGGTCGATGGCCCTGAAGGCCATCCGGTGAATTCCTCCAAAACCAGCGAGCTCGATGTACTCTAGGACGCGTGCCTCGACGGCCCACCCCACCATTACTCTGGCTGTGTGGTGTCTGCAAACAAGCGGCTTCGCGGGATCAACCTGCAAATGAAATACATAAACGTAAGTGTAAAACGATAATTTCAAGGAGCATTCTTAAGTATGTTGGCATAGGAAGTAAATGTTACCGATTGATCCCATACGGCAGTGCTCCGGTGCGTGGCCTGGAGTGTAAGCACGGAAGGGTCAAGCGGTCCGGGCAAATGCACCTCTCTGTCCATGGTATCTGTTCACTGACTAAGCATCACTAGGTCACCATTAACAAGCAATAATTCTAGAAATTCAAATACTTAACATCTTCAATATTTCAACACCAACAATTCTACATTATCCAAATTAATATTTAACAATCACAATTCATCAACTCAACCCTAAACCCCTAAATTCAACAAAAACCCCCAAAATTCAACATAAACCCTAGAAATTCAACAATTCAAGAAATTCAACAATAACCAATAATTCAACAACACTAACCAACAATTCAACAACACTAACCAACAATTCATGAATTCAACAACACTAACCAACAATTCAACAACAATATCCAACAATTCAATAATTCAACAACACTAACCAACAATTCAAGAATTCAACAAACATAACGAACAATTTGTAAATACTCAACTAATATTTAACCATACCTTGAATTGGATGTAATACGAAATTGGGTTGAAGAGGATTGAAGAGGAAATTTGGGAAGGGAAGGAAGAGGATTGCGAAGGAGGCGAAGGAATGAAGAGCAAACGTGATTGAAAACGAAGCTCGAGTTTCTGGTTTTACAACCAGACAGAAACGCTGCCTGGGGCAGCGTTTCATTAACAAGATAAGACGCTGCCTGGGGCAGCGTCTTATGTTTAAGCATAAGACGCTGCCTGGGGCAGCGTTTTATGCTGTTGCCTTTTTTTTTAATTAATTTTTAAAAAAAATAAACGAGGAAAAAAAAAGTCAAACTATAAAAACGCTGCCTGGGGCAGCGTTTTTGTAGCAGAATTTTTTTTTTTTAAAAAATAGAGGGTAAAACGCTGCCCGAGGCAGCGGTTTACCCCAGAAGCTTATTTTTGTAAATACTTTTGCCACGCAACCAAATTTGTAATTATTTTCTTCGGGAAGCTTAGTTTCCTAAAACGTCCATGTTTTGTATTTGGCCATACATCACAGGCCTTGTCTAGTACTTCCTCCTCCAAGCTAGTGTGTTACGGAGTACTTTAAAAAAAAAAAACAAATGGAACTTTGGTCAACAATCTAAGGTTATTGGTTGGTTATTTAGGTCTTACTTGAATTGGGGGTAATATATTAAGAGGGTAATAAAAGTCAAACTTGAAAAAACATAAATAATTACAGGTGTTGTTGTAGGAGGCATAATGTTTACAAATGAAATAAAGTAATTCTGCCATGAGGAAAAGAGAGAGATGGAGGAATTATTACCCTCATAATGAGGGTAATAGTTACCCACCCTCCCCCTAGTGTAACTATTACCCCCAAAATGAGGGTATTAGTTCCTCTTTTTTCACCTCATACCACACCATCACTACATAATTTTCCTTACTATCACCATCACTATCTCCTCCTTCCCTATTTTCACTTTCATTTTACTTAGTTTGACTTTTATTACTCTAGTAATACATCTACCCCAATTCAAGCATGTCCTTAGAGTTAGCAAATATTTATGGTCCTAATTAATTAAACTAGAACGTACTTTATATCCAAAGTAATACGTTATATCATACGGGTACTACCACAATTGTACTATACCAAATTGAGTAACATGTAAACCAACTGCCGCCGGACCATAAGGATATCCTACTAAAAACAGTAAAACAGACAGAGATGATGGATTAAGGGATCTCTTGCATCTTAATTCAATGAATCTAATGCATGGTTACCAAAATTTATATACAATTGGAATTTTACAATTAATATAAAGTCCACTTGTATTTCAAAAAGATATAATTAAAAATTTAATTGTCCACTTGATGTATTATTTTAATGCCACTATCTCTGTTTACTTGGTCGTTAGCACATGATTCAATCTAGCAATCTTTTTTTCTTTAATTTATTCAATAGTTTATTTAGTTAATTACTCAATTTATCATTATTCCAAGGATTAAATATGACTTGTATTCACGAATCAAGAAAAAATGAGAGCTTGATAGTTGATGTACCCTAAACTTTTTAATATAATACATGCAAAAACTTAATATGCAGCTGGTTTTCGTTAATGAATCCAACCTTTTTTTCTTTTTTTTCTGTTTTTTTTTTCTCTCTTTTTTTTTTTGGAATAAAAATGAATCCAACTTTATTAGTAGTAAATTTTATTTTACTTTTAAAAGGAACAAAATATCATATTAATAATTGTTGTGTCTCCATTTTCTACTTGATAAGTAATAACAAAAAGGCAACTGCTTTTCAGTAACCTCCCACAATTACAACAATAGAGATTGGAACTTTGGAAGTGGTATATATGAGTGTGTGCCAAATTGTTTAAATAAATTTAAATAAAAAGGATTCATTATTGATGATGACTACCACTCCATTTTTTATTTTTTTTTTAAGTGCATCACTTTTTATATTTGACCATCTTTTACACTTTGTTTGGATAGAAGGAAATGAAAGGAAGAGAAGGGAGGGGGACAAACTCTCTTGTTTGGGTAAAGGATTGGGGGAAGGAAGGAAAAGGAGAGGGAGGGATTCATTTTCCCTCTCTCTTTAATAAGCATAATCTCTCCAAAATTGGAAAGATTTGGAGGGAAAAATGAGCTCACCTCCTCCTCCCTTTCTTCTCTCGTCCCTTCCTCTTCTATCCCTCCCCTTCCTTTCCTACCTTGTTTCCTATCCAAACAAAGCTTAAAGTGCATCATTTTCGTTTCTGGACATTTTATTTAATTTTATTTTTTTTATTAATGTTTTTCTCTCCTCACATGATCCCCTTCTAATAATTATTTGTCTCTATTCACGACCCTTATTTTTAATAAAATATTACCTTAATATATAATTTTTTTTTTTTAGTTTTTATTCCCAACAAACCTACTTAAATAATATTTTAACTTATTCAAATCCCGCTCCAATCTTAAAACTATGTGATACTCAAAGCAATGCACTTAAAAAAACTCAGAGAAAGTAATTATTTACAAAAAAAAAAACTTGTATGGACCTGCTTCACCATAATATCACGGTGAATTTGAGATCCATATATTAATGCGCAACTGATGTTGTGTTATTTTGAATATAGTAATCCTAATTTAATGTACTGACTTTTAATATTATTGTGAACCTGAAGTACACACATGTCAGTCGACGTAATGTTGAACATAGTGACCTTAATTTTGACATAGTGACCTTTATTATTATATTGACCCTTATAATAAAACTTCCATTAAAAAATATAACCTCTTTTGACTTTTGTACTAACACAATGACTTTTATTTATTTTAACATAGTGACCTTTTTTTTTTCTTATTTATTAATAAACGACCATGTCTAGTGTCTCTAATATTCGTGGTCCATAGTAAATTAATGGGTGAACCAGGTCCATTAATTATTTACACCCTATATTAGTTCCTTAGATCTACACTTTTATCCTTTACATGAAATTCAATGCAATGTTTGATCAGTAGTTCTGTCATTTTTTTTTCTTATATCTGTATATACTTGCATGTAGAAGTACAGTGTCAAAATCTGACTCGATTTGACTAAATTGGACATAATCTAAAAATACCCGATTTAAATTTTGATTTATGTGGGCATAATAATTCAGCATTACTCAAACCCGACGAAGTAGATAGACCCAACCTAACCAATCCAACTATTCAAAATACACCTCTAAACTATAGTAGAGGAGTGACTTATGTCGGTTGGGGAGGCCGGTCGGATAGTCTAGTTAAATTGGGTCATTTTAAATTTGATAACACTAAATAATTGTACCCAATTGAATCTAATTTTACATCACATCACTTAGTTTATTTTCGGCTCCAATTAATTTTTAACACTTCTTCTCCATAACACATTTGCTAAAAAATTAATACCAAGTTGTTGAAAAAATATGCACATTAATTTTATCTAAAGACATCCAATTTGAGTATAACTTAATAATTTCATTAATTAAAAACGGAAAAAAAAAAAAAAAAAAAGAAATTGACTTGCGCTCTCAAGTCACGAACCGTACTGTTTAAATAAATCAAACGATACCGCTTTTTTTGTTTTCTCCCATTCTCGTCCTTGCCCATTGTTTTCTTTCTTTCTTCTCTCTCTTTCACAACTCCTAACCTCTTAAGTTGAATTATCCTACAACACCAATGTACTCTTCATCTTCCTCCTCCCAACAACAACAGTCATCCTCCAACACCCAATCTAATAACAATAGCAACCCAAATCTCATGCGCTACGACTCCGCCCCTAGTAACCTCCTCTCCAACACGGTCGACTCCATCGTCGGTAACCACCACCACCACAACCACCAAATACACCAACACCACTTCTTCGAATCCAATCAAACAAAACTTAATTCGACTAACTCATCAAGAGATACCCTCACCTTGCTCCATCAAGGTCCGTACGGTTTGACCAAGTCGTCATCGAATAATAGTAATAGTAATAATAATAATAATAATAATAATAACGGGATGGATTCTACGTCCAAGACAACGTCGTCTTCGAATTTGATTCGACATAGTAGCTCTCCGGCGGGGTTTCTTAGTCATCTTGCTTCTGATATTGGTACTTTTTTTTTTTCTCTTTTGGTTTTTTATTTTTTTTGTTTTATGTTTGTAAAATAATGATCAACTTGCACCTTTTTGTTTTGAATCTTTCTTTTACAACTTTTTTGGGTTGATATTTTATGAACAACTTGCTTAACTAATTTAATGTTTTTATGTCATGTGCAATTTTAATATAATATTAGAAATTACTAGGTTGAGAAATTTCTGAAAAGCTTTACCATGCAACTAGAGACAATTGGAATTTTATTTGACTTATTAGATATGCTTTGGGAAATTCCAAGTTTATCTTCTTAAAATTTACATCTAAGTGACAATTTTACTTTTTTTTGGTGGAACATTTTTGTGATAATAATATAAAAATGTGTACCAATATTGTAGATCTCTCTCATTTTATGCCCTACTTGTTATGTATTTATACAATTGTGCGTGTCTCATCAATATATTTGTGAAACATGAAATGTTTAAATTTTTTTTTTTAGGAATTGAATTGTGGTAGACTCAATATGTTTATGGTAATTTATAATGGAAATTGCTATATATATCCCTTACGGTTACATATAAAGAGCTAAAAATCGAAAAATTAATAAATAAATATTAATTACATTAATTTATACGTGATTTTGTCCTGCATTCCTAAATTAATACCAAATAAGAAAAGATATATAATACTTATTTTTAACCTTAAGGGCTACATATAGCAATAATATCAATATATCATTACTCTTTTATAATTCCCAAAAAATTACTAATGCAACTACTAAATTACGAGATACTAGTATATTCTTTTATATCTAGATGACTTAATTACATCAAAATCTAACATAAAATAATATTATTATTTTTTTTTGGTTTGTTTAGCACTCATTTAACTAGTCATTAAACGGAAATCTACTAGGCTACTATATATTAGTTGTAGAGAACGTGAATTTTCTCATGTATTCAAAATCTTGACTAAGGAAGTATTCCTTTTTTCTATCACTAGACTTTTATTTTTAGGAAATTTCCACAAATAGATTTCAAGTCTTTTGTTTGGTGCTACATTTTGATTTGATGTCATCAACTTATTTAATGTATGCCCAATTGCTATTTGGCATATATTAAATTACAAAAAGAAATAATTATTCGGTAGCTTTGTTGCTAAAATTCCTATAGAAAAAGGATTAAATATAGAAATGGTAAACCTTGGGAGATTTATAAATCGTTCAATTTTGAATCAGGCCATGTTCACTTCAACTTATTTTTGTTGAATTGAAATTATTTTTACTGAGCTGAAATTATCTTTGCTGAACTTAAATAATTTTTATTAAACTGAAATTAATTAAACTGAATTGAAATTATTTTTTGCTGAACTGAAATTATTTTTACTGATCCTCTATTTTATTTCTTCTTTAAGGTTACTGAAATTATTTTTACTGTGTATTATTTTTTTAAGGTGAAGTGAATAAGGCCTTAGTCAATCATAAGACGATTCTCATTTTATTTCTTCAAATAAAATTATTAATAAGGAATCTTTTTTTTTTTTTTGAGTAAATTAATAAGGAATCTTGTACGTCAATGTTATTGTTGAACACAAGTCAATAAAATCTCTTTCAAAATTAATTTTAATAATGGCTTAATTATGCTAATACATATGCAATGGTATATTTATCAGCTTGTTTCTATCTAGTTAATATGTAATTGAATTAGAATCATAAATCGATGCATTAATGCATTTTTAAAGAAAGAGGTAAACCAACTGTATTTATACAGGTAACTACATTGTACAAAAAAAGGTTTTGTTTGTACTCATCATTATGTTGTACTTTTATAAAATCTTTATAGATCCCAATTCACATACAAATTAATACTCTATCGATAAATATATAAAACTTAGGCCTTGTTTGATAAAGTGCTTTTAACTTATTTTGCCCAATTAGATATTTGACCAATTAAAAAAATTAATTTGGGTGTTTGGTAAATAGCTTATTAAAAGAGCTTTTTGGACTCAAAAAGCTCTTTTAGAAAAAGCTCATTATAAGAACTTTATTTTTAAAATTAGCTTATTGAACAATTAGCTTTTTGGCTCTTAAATACACTAAAACAGCTAACAATCAAGAACTATTTACCAAATACTTTTACACAATCAGCTAATTACAACTAGCTAATCAAACCAGCTAGTCAATTCAGCTAATACAATCAGCTACCAGCTAATTACCAAATAGAGCAATAGTTTGAATCGTCTCGATGTCTAATTCCCTGCGTCTCATAATATATGGTTTGTTTAATTTTTTCTATAATATTCTAAATGACATTTAATAATATAAATAATTGGTCAATTATCTTTTTTTTATCTTTCTAACATTTAAACACAACAACCAGTTTATGAAGATTTAAATATAGGTGTTTTTTTTTTTTTTGAAACAATTTTTTTTTAAAAAAAAGAGATATAGGTGTATTTTATATGGCATAGAAAAAATTAAATAACGACGGCAAAAAAAACTTATTGAAAGATAAATAAGGGTTCGTTTGGTATCATTGTGGTTATTTGTTTTTTTTGGTTTTTATTTTTCAAAATCATATGATATATGTCATATAATAATTTAAAAATTAGTCAAACATATTAAAATCATCATAATTTTAAAACGAACAACAAAAAAGTGAAAACACTTTTTTCTTGTTTCCTGGTTTTGGTTTTTTGTTAAAAAAAATGAAACAAAAAAGATGTCAAACAAGCCCTAAATTGGTGTATTATAGTGAAATCTATTAACTATTATTAAAACAAAACATGCTGACATCATTAAGGGACATATGTCAACTTCTCATGAAATTTTTTCCCGCCAAAACTATTTTTGACATCATCCTTTTTTTCTCTCTCTTTTTTTTTTTTTTTTTTCTTCTTCTTCCTAAGTTCAAGACTAAATAATACAAGTACAATATTTCTATCAAAATTAATGAATGAGATTATGATTACGAGTAAACATTTTTCAAATAAAGAATATTGACAACTATTTTAAATAAAGAATATTGACAACTATTTTTCAAATAACGTACGAGACTAAACTAGTTATGTAATATAATAAATAGAAAGATTAGAAACAAGCACACTATTTTGGGTGTTCCCAATATGAAATACAACTATGAAGTATTATATTTTGGGGATGAGGGAGTAAAATACTTCCTTCCTATATTTTATTTTATTTTTATTTTTATTTTTTTATTTTTTTTTGTGGGTTGGTACATACTTTCGCAGTGTATAGCACATACCGTATAGGCCATGGCAAACTATTTAAGGAGGTGATTAAACTAAGTAAATGGACGAATTAATCTATAAAATTTAAACTGTAGCAACTTACTACTTATATTTTCTTATTAGTGGTAAAAGTTTGTCACTTAATTTGTTTGTATATCTAGTCTAATATATCCCTTAAAGTACATGTCAAAATGGTGTGTTGCAAGTAAATGAAACAGAGGAAGTATCTTTTATTACATTTGCTAATGCACAATTTTAATGATTAATACCTCTGATTTTCAACATTGTAACATTTTAAAAAGTCGATAAAATAAAATTTTCATTGAGACGGCTCAAATAAAATCTCACATGATATTATGTTGTATCGTGGTTATAATCTCAAAAACAAGTCAATTTGTGAGTAGTGTCAAAGGTTAAAATGTGTTAACTAAAAAGCGGAGGTAATATTAATTTTGTGATCAGGGGGTAAAATATTAATTTTGGGAAAGGGGGAGTAAAATATTAGCTATTATTAATAAGTATGTAATTATAGGGGGCTTTTAAAGATAAAATGCCTAAATATTTGCATTGAATGATGTTATAAAACTGCCAAAAAAAATACACACACAAGTGGAGGGATACGTATAAGTTAGTTTTTTTGGTCATTAGAATTAGAATCATGATTATTATAAAGATGTAAGAATAAGTAAAATATTCTTAATTAGGCCATATTCTCTTCACTCTATTCTTATAATATTTAGTAAAAAAATAAGTTTTACTCGATAAGAGTGTGTTCTATTTAATTAATTTATCTTATTTTAATTTATTTGAGCTTATGAGAATTAAAATAAGTGAAAATAAGGTGAATATAATAAGGTCTAAAAATCAATAACTTCAAAGAACAAATATAATAAAGAATCAGTAAAAATAAGTTTTAATCAATAAAAAATAATTTAAGTTCAATAAAAGTAATTTAATTTCAGCAAAAATAATTTCAATTCATTAAAAACAATTCACTTAGCTAAAATAAGTTGAAAAGAATAGAGTCTTACATGTGTCATCTCTTATCACTAGATGACAAGGTGCCACGCACATAGTGACCTCCAAGTTGAATAATCTATATCTATATCTATCTATCTTTATCTTTCTTTAACTTTATTATAAAAGCCAAGGGGGCAGGGAGAGTGAAAGAGCTCCCTAAATTGCCCCTAATAATATAAAAATAATAATAAATATAGGCCGTGTTCGGCAAAATGTAGATGTAAAGGTAGCTGTTAGCTGTGATAATAGTTGTTAAATGAATGTGTAGCTGTTAGTTGTGGAAATAGATAATTAAGTATGAGTGTTTGGTAAACTAGCTGTTGACTAGCTATTAGTTGTGAAATTCTAAAAATATAGAAGAAAAACCCCCAACAACTATCTAGCTTTTCACAAAAACTAATAATATCAATTTTTCACAAAAGCTACTCCAATCGCGCACTAACCTCTACTCCCACCACTTCATTGCCAAACACTAATATTTTTTACTAAGTAATGGTTTGAATAAGTCAAACTACTAAAAGCTACTCAAAAGCTATTGTCGAACATGCCCAATATTTTATATAGTAATGTTAGTTTCCTAAATTTAACCACAATTTAGAATCTTCCAAAGATATAAAAATATGTCTTCAAGGGAAACTCAACATATTAAGACAATAACATCAAATAATATACTACTAATATTACACATGTAAAAAATATTAGCCTTTATGCAATCAAGAATTTTCATAAAATATGAAACAAGACCTCAAAAAATTAAATTATAAATAGTTGAGAGGCTTTTTAAACTTCAAAAACAAGTTTGAAAGACATTAAATAAGATGTTGAAAGGCATTAAACAAGATGTCAGAGGTGTAAAAACAATTATATTGTGAAAAACATCAAAACCATAGTACAAATTTGCGAAAAACGCCACCTTTATGCATTGCATGCACATAGCACTATTACTTATATATACTTTTATATTAAAAAGTGTTATTAAAAACGTAAAAATGTCGATGTGTCACATGTACTCTCCTACTCCATTCAACAATCTTTGTTTCATGTTATAGTTAACTAAAAATGTCTTCAAAGAAATTTGAATACTAGACCTCATTAAATAAAGACCACACTTATTACTATCTATTAGCTAGAAATAAGTCATGTTTTATCTAACTACATAAATATATAAATATATTAGAATGTATAATAAACAGAAATAAAAAAAAAATAAAATAAAATAAACCCAAAAGCAATCCAATATAATTTATTGTTGTCCTTGTATTATTATTATACTGACAAAAAAATAAATTAAAAAGAAAAAAAACACAACTAGTCTTTCAAGCTCTTTAAGTAAAAAAAAAAAAAAAAAAAAAAAAAAAAAAAAAAAAAAAAAAACTCATGTAACGTCCAAAAGTAGTCTTCTTTGCTTCTCTACCACCAAGCTATAAATATCACTTCCCTACCTTTTAAAAAGTTCAAGCAAACTCTTATAAATAGTGCATAGACATATATCTAAAACTGTTTGTTTACTTATATGCCCTCATTAATGTTAATTGCCTTTGTTTTTGAACTACTATTAATAATGTGTGGACATTTATTCATTGATGTTTGCTTATAAATTGTTTTTTTTTTAACTACTATGAATAATGTGTGGACATTCATACCTCTAAAGATATTTGTTTACATATTTGGTGTCATTAATGTTCATGTTAATCGCCAACAACTAAATTTATAGCATAAGGCCAAGCTGAAAGAGATCGTCAGATATGGCTAGCTTGCGTGTTAGCTCCCCTAGTCATACAAAAAAAAAAGGTTTTTTTTAAACATTAAATTACAACAAATTTACATGTGGTTGGCCACACTGTGTGGTCGGGATTACTCGGTCATGAGTTACTCGGTCGGTCAGGGATTACTTTATCGGTCAGTGTTTTGGTGTGTGTCAGCTTGCCGTACGATATGACCGACAAAAACTCCTTTAATTAATTTACTAATATTTGGACCTGGACAATATCCCGGGGTCATTACATGGAGCTGAGTTTACCATTATATGGAGTTAACCAACAATATAAATTTAATTTATGGCACAATATTCTTGTGATTAAATTTGTTATTCACATTTTGTTTTCAAAAGAGAACATAAAATTAGATGGCTTGGTGGTAAGGCATATAGTGTTAGAATCGAAGATTATATGTTCAAATCTTATATGAAAATTGAATAATTCTATTTTTAAAATTATTATTATTATAAGTTAAACACATGGAATGTGAGACAAATAAGGGAGAGTGTCACTTGACACATAGCTTTTGTTGAAACGCTTTTTATAATATAGTATAAAGATTTTTAAATTAAATAAATTCATACTTCTATTAATCTCGTATTTGCTTTAATTAAATTGAAAGACCCTATTGAACCGAAATCCCTAATAGGCCGACCTGGTAAAACTAAGAGGAGGGGGTAGAGGAGGAAGTTCCCTCCAAATTATCGATCCCTAATGAGGTTTAAATTTCAGGTTGGAAGGTGTTGGTCTTTGTACGTACTATGCAAAGTTTAAATTGTTGTATGTATGTACACGTATGTCCATGATGAATTGTCCAATATTTTGTGTATATATATTTTTTTGTCGAGAACCAATTTGAAAATATTTACCTATGTAGGATATAATTCTGTTCCAAAAGGATTTGATGTGAATTACAATAATGGACTAGCTGGGAGTTCAATAGGTCATGATCAGCACATGCTATCAAGGTTAGGCTCTCAATTGAGCTTCACAAGAAAAGATCATCATTCTCTCTCTCAAATTTCAGAGGTAAATGAGAATGTTCTTGAAGGCATGAGCTCCCATGGCCACGATGATCATGAGCGTGAGAAATCAGTTGCTTCACAATCTCGCTCACCCTCTGGATTTTCACTGACTGCTTGGGATGACAGCGAAAACAACTTTGTAATTTCGACATCATCAAACAAACGAGGGAAAACTATCAATGACGATATCCTTTATGGTTTAGGGGCCATTGATTCCCAGGTAACTTCTTTTTTCTTGTAGGTTTATTAAGAGCATTAATTAGAGCGAGCAAGATAGATGTATACACTTAACATTATTCATGCATAGTCTGTTGAGTTTCGTAGATATGTGTTGTGCACGAACATGTATTTGTTGTCAAACATTAGAGAAGATGAAATAAAATAATAACCATGTTATAGAGCCATATAAGTATAGAAGTAATATTCTCATTGTCAATTTGTTTTGCAATGAAACTCTATGGAATTCCAAAGAGTCCTAATCTCTTTATTATATTTAAAAGAATTTTTTGCGAGAAACTACCTAATTAAAAAAAAGTTCTAAGAAATTATCTAATAAAAGGTAAAAGGTAAAATGTTGTAAAAGATTACCTTTGGCCGGATTTCAATCTTTGACCGACTTTTTCAGCATTGACCCACCATAAAACACCTCCAAAACCACCCGCTTTTATCCCCAAAACCAACACAACCCGCTTGAAAACTACCTCCACTAGGCTGAAACCACCCTCAAACCCTGAAAACACCCAAAGAGGGTGGTTTCCGAGGGATTTTGTGGTGGGTCAATGTTGGAATAATTGGTCAACATGGAAAATTTGGCTAAGTAGTCTTTACAAACATTGTTCCTTTTATAAGGTAGTTTCTTACAACATTTTTTTATTAGGTGGTTTCTCACAAATTTTGGATTTTATTAGGTATTTTCTTACAAAAAGTCTTATTTAAAAATTGAATGTTGTCATAAAACTGTTGTATATCTATGTTCACAATTGTTTTTAATTCCATTTTTATAGCAAGCATTGGCGTTAGAGATGGCAACAATGGAGAGGCTGATGCAAGTACCTGAAAATTCGGTCCCTTGTAAAATTCGTGCTAAGCGTGGATTTGCAACTCACCCTAGAAGCATTGCTGAAAGGGTCAGTATAACTTTTCCAATAATGCTTCTTTTCATTTCTACTAGTTATTTTTTTTTTTTTTGACAAAAGCAAAGGAAACAAAACGTAAAAAAAAAACTACAACAAAGAAGTGCAATCTATCCGACATTTCCTAGCAATGTCGTTAGCTCGTTGAACCTGATCCCTATTAACTTTTAAGATTGTGCATCTTCGAAACGAAGCTCCGACTATTCTTAACTCTTTTAGCAGCCAATAAATCGAGATTTCCTTCCCCTGGTGATCTTGTAAATTATTCAGGAGGGAGATGGAGTCAGATAAGAGAAGAATTCCCTGTTTCCCTTTAGCCCGAGCCCACTTCATAGCTTCAAGACAAGCCCATACCTCACATTGGATGACTGATGCTGTAGTACCATATTTCCCCCCTTCATCCCTGGCAACACCATGTATATAATCCTTTACTGCCCATCCTACCCCTGATCTCATTGTGTTCTTATCCCAGGAGCCATCGGCTTCCACTATGAAATTGTCAAAACCAAGTTTTTCCTTTCCTAGCTGAACATAGTTGAAACCCGGGGGAATAATGGGATTATCCTTGCTGGCAACCTCCCTCTCGTCTGCTAAACTTCCTTGTTGCCTGAAGAGCTCATGCTCCTCCATTGCAAGCTTTATGGACTCCACTACCAGACTACTTGTTCCTGTGGACCTTATAAAGCATACTGCATTTCTCATTTTCCATATACTCCATAGTGAGGCTATGAACAAAACACTACGATTACTATTCTTTCCATCCTCGCTATTAAAGAGCAGGATATAGTGCTGGATCCATCTCCTCAAAGAAGAAGAAGACCCAGGAATGTCAGGGCAAATGGTGAGAGAGCTATTCTCCCAAACTTCCTTTGCCAGGTTACAAAATCTAAACAGATGTTGGCTATCTTCCAAAGTCATCCCACAGTAGTCACACTCAGTTTCAACTTGTATCCCTCGTCTAGCTAGATTACCTTTCACTGCTATTCCATCATGAAACAGCTTCCACAGGAAAACTTTCCACTTCGGTTGAATGTTCATTCTCCAAACCAGCTTTACAAACTCTAGATCCCTATTCAAAGACGAAGTGCTTTCCATTCCTTCATCCTTTGATAGGTAGTAATACCCAGTTTTAACAGTGTATTTGCCGGAGGGGTGATATTTCCAGTAGAGGAAATCCTCTTCAGTTGAAAGAGGGAGCTCCATTGCCAGGATCGCTTTTGCACTATTCCACTCAAAACACTCCCTTATCCTTCCTGCATTCCAAGTTAAAGTATCACCGTTAATGAAATCACTTACTTTCCAATTCAAAGCTGCCCTTAGAATAATACCATCCTTAACTAGAGGGATTTCCCCCTTAACCCACGGCATGCTGAGAGCCCTGATGCTTTCTCCATTTCCCACTTTCCACGCAAAACCTTCCTTGAAGGAATGAACCATTTTCTGTATACTTGACCTCCCCACTGAAGGATTCCCTTGTCTTCTATAAGGGCTAGCAAAATGGCATATACTACAATGTTGAAAACCTCTATGTACTCTTGCTAACAGAGAGGATTTAGGTGCATCCTCGTCGCTTGCTTGAAAAGAAGAGCGTCGTTAAGATTCGAAATACCCCTTATTCCCAGCCCTCCCATACTCTTCGGAAGTTGGATGAGACTTCTACTCACCCAGTGCAACCCCTTATTCCCATTACCAGCCCACCAGAATCGAGCAATTAGGGAGTCAATTTTGTTTGCGATGCTCTGGGGAAGTTTCATACACTTCATAACATGCGCAGACATGCCTACCAAAACCGTATTAATGAGAATTAACTTTGTTGACTGGGATAGATGTAAGGGGGCCCACGAGATGATTCTTTCCGCCACTTTGTCAACCAGGAACTGGAAGGAGGAGTTCTTTTTCCCCCTAATATCAATAGGGGAACCCAGGTGAATCCCCATATTCTCAGTTTCTGGCATAAAGAGAACCTGTTTTATAGCTAACTTTTCCACAGGGGAAACATCCGGAGAAAACTTTATAACAGACTTCTGGAGACTTAATTGTTGACTAGAAGCTTTCCCAAACCTAGAAAGAATGTCCGCTATACACAAACATGAATCTTTATTTGCTTTGAAGAAAAGCATAACATCATCTGCGAAGAAAAGGTGAGAGATCGATGGGGATCTTCGCGAGACTTTCAGACCCTTAATAAGCTTGATATCTTCTGCCAAAGATAATATTCTTGACAAGATATCCATACAGAAAATAAATAGGTACGGGGAGAGGGGATCCCCTTGTCTCAAACCACACTGCGGAACAAAAGGATTAGTAGCCTTCCTATTAATAATTGTTTTGAAACTCACCGTTGAGACACACTGTGAAATCATCCGTATCCAGTGATTTGAGAACCCAAACGCCTGCAAAACTTTCAGAAGAAAGAGCCAGTCCACTCTATCATAAGCTTTTGACATATCAATCTTAATTGCTGTAAAATTAGAACCCCTCCTTGAATTAATAAGATGCATAAGTTCATGACTCAAGAGAATATTATCTTCCATATACCTTCCTGGTATAAAAGCATGTTGGTTTTCCGAAATAAGGCTTGGGAGAATCGGCTTGAGCCTATTAACCAAGCATTTGGAAATGCATTTGTAGATCGTGTTGCATAAACTAATAGGTCTAAATTGACTTGCCAGCTCTGGGGTCTTAACTTTTGGAATCAAAACTAGCAGAGACTGGTTCCATTCTTTGAGCATATTTCTTGTTCGTAGGAATTGTTTTACACTATCAATCACCAGCTGCCCTACCTCATACCAGTAGGTTTTAAAAAAATCCACGGTAAAACCATCGGGGCCAGGAGATTTGGAACAGTGCATCTTGAACATAGCCTGTTTGATCTCCCCCTCAGAAAAATCCCTATCGAGCCAGATTTTATCCTCATCCCTGAGCACAGGAATATCAAGTTGCCTAAGCAACAAGTCGATATCTTCCCCATGAGAATCATTTAAGACTGGGTTGTAGACTTCCTTTATCGAGGTTAAGATTAACTCTTCCACCTCCTTTTGCCCCTCTACCCACATGTCATTCCCAGTCTTCAGCGTCAAAATCTCGTTGTGTAACTGTCTTTGTTTTACCTTCCTATACATTGTTGGCGTTGGGCAATCCCCTAGTCTCACCCAATTCGCCTTCATTCTTTGCTTCCAAAATCGAAAACACAATTGGCTTTCAGGCAGAAGCATGTTGATATGCTTAACATACCCCTCTCCTTCCTTAAGCGAGGTTATGTTCATCCCTGTGCTTTGAAGATCCTTAGTAATCTTTTTCCAGTTGATCCCCCATACCTTCTTATTTTCCAAGCACCAATGTTGAAGGTTTGACCTTAGTTTACCCAGCTTCCTGGAAAGCTGGAACATGTACGAACCCTGATACTCCTCCTTCCATACACCTTCCACTATTCCTCTGATTTCTGGAAAATTGAGACACCAATTCTCAATTTGATAAGGTCTATTAGAAGTGGTAGAACTAGGCTGATCATGATAAGTGATTGCCGCATGATCGGAGCAAACAATTGGTTCATGAAAAATTCTCCCATTCGGGGAATGAGCAAACCATTCCTCTGTAATGTAGGCACGATCAAGCCTTTCTAGAATAAGGTCTTCTCCCTCCCTTTTATTACTCCAGGTAAACCGTGGCCCCGAAAAAGGAACTTCCGTCACATTGCTGCTGAACCTCCAATCTAGGAAGGCATCGACTCCTCTTATTCGGACCGAGCCCCCTAGCTTATCACTCCCACTTTCAACTTGATTAAAATCTCCTATGACTAGAACATTTTTGTACTCTTCTAAAAACCATTGAAGTTGCTCCCAAATGATTTTTCTATTTTCTACTTGAGGCTCACCATAAAAGAAAAGTACATATTTCATACTTCCATTCATATTGATCATTTTACAAAAGATAAAATTTTTTGAGGAGTACATGCATTCAACTTTATCACTAGACCAACTTAAAACTAAAAGGCCCCCGCTACTACCATCCGAATCCCACCCAAAAGCGGTAGTAGGGTTAATAGCACTTAATCTAGCTACCGCACAAGCAAAATTCATTTTAGTTTCTGAAATAAATAAAAATGTAGGTAACTTCATTTGAAAGATCCATACTAGGTAGGGAATTGTAGGCGAGTATGGATCATTGAGACCCCTACAATTCCACGCCACTACCTTCATCTATCCATTGGGGGCTGACTTGGTGCAGCCTCCTCACCACCCGACGATAACCTCATCAAGTTCATAACAGGTAACTGAAGGTCGATATCCATGTCGTCCCTAACTTCCCTCAAGACCGAAGTCACCTCCTCACTCTTTTGCCGTTTAAAGGACTCAGTTGAAGAAGAAGAATGTCCTTGGGGTCTTTTGTTCTTGCCCCTCCTGCAAAGGTCTCCATCAACCTCCACTCCAAGTTCACGAGCCATATCAGGATCTGAAATTGCCTTGGAAGCAAACTTACTATCTCCTCCTTTATCCTTAAGCCAAATCGAAAAGCCCCCTTTCTCCGACCACCTGTAAAGCCTCCTAGTTCTTTTCCTTTGAACCCATTCGAAATCCGACTCACTATACCTAATAGAATCCCCATCACAAGAATGCGGCAGATGGCCTACTGCCTCCCGTACTCTTTTCTTGTTACACCCTTCTTCATCGTAGTTGAACAATTCCGTAAAATTAAATGAACTAATATGGGTTATTGGGCTGTTCGGAGGGTCAAATTCCGTAAGGGGGAGATTCGGAAGCCCCCCTAAATCAGCAGGTGATAGGCGAAGAAAAGGAGATGTCGTAGCCCGGGAGACACGGTTGAGCTCTTGGATTTCTGCTCTTCTTACCTGTCGAATACCCAAAGATAGTATCGTACTTGCTTCCATAATACTCGCATAATCATTTGCTTCCTGCTGCCCTTCATCATTTCTACTAGTTAAATGTCAATTACTTTTTTTTTTTTTTGAAGAATTAAATGTCAATTACTTCAACATACTAAAGTAGAGATCTATTGAATTGCCTGTTTGATTGAACAAATTTTGCAATAAATTTATGTACAAAGTACAATTTTCGTAATTGATGATCTTATGACTACGTTCATGGTAGTGAAACATTACTCTCAAAATTCAAACTATTGTAAAACAAAAGAATATAAATTTGCATTAATTAGAGTCAATTTCACCTCCAATGTGATTAAAAATTTGTAAAAAGAAAGATATATTTGAGGATCAATATAGATTAAATTCATCATAGATTTTCACTTTCATTTTTTCTTACAAATTGCTATAAATTCACTATTTATAATCTACCATTATTAACACCTTTTATTGTCACATATGGAGTATTAAACATGAATCAAATTATATGATATGATCCAAAATTGTGTATATATATGAAGCTTAGTTAATTAATATAATTGGTTTTTTCTATTTATTATAAATTCCCCTCCCTCAATTGATTCTTTAATATGCTTTCATGCTTTTCATGTAGGGAATTTTTAGATTTTATCTTTTCTTACATTCTTGTTATAATGTTCGTGCTGCAGGAAAGAAGAACTAGGATAAGTGGGAAATTAAAGAAGTTACAAGAGCTTGTTCCCAATATGGACAAGGTAATTTTTCTATTTCAAACTTCAACCCTTTTTTTTTTTTTTTTTTGGTTTCGGGCATCTTCAACTCGTTTCATTTGATTTTGTGATTTATGACTTTGAAAAAATATCATATGTTTTTCTATTGAGTGTCTATGATTCTATGAGGGACGTGTTAACCTAACTCATATTCTATTTTTAAGCAGTTACGATTTATGACACCGTGGTAATACATAAGGAAATAATCTTTCTGTATTAACGTAGCAAAAGTAAAGAAATTAATGAGTAAATAGCTAGGTTTCCCTTTGGGTTCACCATTTTTCTATTTTAACTCTTTTTCATAGGCCTTTTCTTTTGACTTTGGTGACAAAGCTGCCAAAAATACAATATATTTAAAGCTTACCAACTAGTCTTGCGCTCTTTAGAAAGACCGAATTATGATCTCTCCTTCTATCTTAAAAAAATCTAAAGCAACTCATTTTATGTGGAATTGTGGAGTATTTGTTATGGAGTTTAGCTAAAGTACCATAATTTCTTGTCTACTATATTATTAGCTCTACTACTATAATTTTTGCATCTCTACCATACCAACATAATTTTCATCTCACACTTTAGAAGGGTATCAACCCCATGTTTTGGGTTGGTTGAAATATGAAGAATTTTCTTAGTTTTCGTGGTGATCAAGGGTAAAATACCTGGGAAATTGAATTTCTACTTAGAAAGTTAGAATTGAACTAGAAAGTATGTGACCACGTGGTATATTATATTGGGACGAACTAAATAATAAATATGTAACATACGGAGTAATATTTTGGGACTGGGATATCTGCTATAACGATTTTTCCATTTGGTTTGTGCTTTCTGTTTGCAGCAAACAAGCTATTCAGACATGCTAGACTTAGCAGTGCAGCACATCAAAGGACTTCAAGGCCAGATTGAGGTAATCTCTCTAGATCACACGCATTAATATTGAACAAGTGACTACTATCTTTTCCGAAACACTTCTTAGTTCAGTTTTATTTGTCTTGAATTGCCAAATTTTCCGTGGTCTAAACTCAAGCATTTGTTTTGTTTTTAGAAACTGAATGAAGACCTAGATCATTGCACGTGTGGATGCAAGCCAAATAATTGATATGGAGTCCTAACTCTGGAACGAAGTCTTGACTCTCAACAGGTTATGGCCGCCTCAATGGAAGCTTGGTGATCAAAGAATGATCGATTGCCAAAACTAAACAGTGGATTTTTGTTTGTACATAAACATGTAATTTTTCCTTACTAACTAATTAATTGGGGAGGTTTAAGAGAGTTAAATAGATGATCCCTCCCTCTTTTCATTTGGTAGTTTTATGCTGTTCAATTTTTGTAAGCATTGTTCATGCAATTTTACTTTAGTTAATTGAACTAGCTTATCTAAATTCAAAGCATTTAGCAAGACTACAAGAGTGTGCAACAGTTCAAGGCACGGCCTAAGCTGGTTTATGGCGTGATTTTACAGCTTTTTATGTAGTGGTTAATGTTAGCAAAACTTTCCTAAAGCTGGAAGTAAAATTCCATATCAAAGCAATCTGATTTCCCTAATATGGCTTAAATAAATACTGCACATTGACTGCATTTAGTATAACTTGCAGTATTATTTATTTGTGTTATGAGATGCAACTACCATAGTATGATTCACAGCTAAATGGTCTTGACTCTCGTTTTACTCTAGTATGTACACATTCTCATCAACTTGCATTTTACCTATTATGGTGAACGAAAGGATAGTAGCATTTCTAAGGAGATAAAAAGGCCTGGTTAAGGTGGTCACACAATAATTTATTGTGTTTTTGTATTGTTCAGCAACAAAATTACATTATATCTCTCCCGGGCTCTACGAACAAAACTAATGTATTGCACTTGTTCTCAATGTAGTAAACTTAAGCACCAAAAAAGAAACGAATAGTAGACTTAACTCCTAATAAGTAATAACAGCTATAGTAATTATTCTACTGAAGATGCTTAAGATAGAATTTTACCAAGTCTACTTCAAGTTCTATCTGGACATTGGCGCTTTACCCTGGAGCGCAGCTGATCTTTCGAAGACAGGGGAACTTGTATCGCTGTAACCTTCGATGGCTTTTCTTTAGGAGGCTGTGCTTGGCCATCAAAATTACCTTGTATCTCCTTATTGTCTAGGCAGTGTTGATCTTCTGACTGATGATCAGACTGATTATCTGAGGGGGTAGTCAGTGCTCTTGCTTCAGGAAGCTGACCTTCACCCTCCAATTTTTCCCTCTTCGGGCTTTGTTGAATACTATCATCCAAGGGTGACATTGCTTGTCCTGTTTCAGCTGTCTCATGAAATTCACTCAGTAGTTTCTCAGTTTCGGCATCAAGACAATCACCCACTTCCTTTTCTTTATGTGATACCTCTTCGTCCAGCTTATAAGGCAGGTTTAATGAATCTGCTAAATCTTGTACCATTGGTCTTCCTTGGCCATCCTTATTAAGCTGGCTGTTTTCTTGAAGATGCAAATTTATTGAAGCTGCTGGATCTTTATTGGTTCCTTCTTTTTGTTTCCGTGGCCTTCCTCGACCATATTTTTTGCGGATTCCAACTTGCAGCAGAGAAATCTGGTGTTGTTCTGGCTCAGAGGACCCGGCTTGTTGCTGAAGAGGCAAAATTGATGAATCTGCACCAACTCTCTTGGTTGTTTCTATTTGTTTCCTTGGCCTTCCTCGGCCACCCTTTTTCGGTTGTTTAATCTGCTGTTGAGATTGCTCATTAGTTGCTATTTCAGACAGCCCTTCTTGTTGATTGATATGCAAATTTAAAGAATCTGCTGCATCTTGGCTGGTTCCTTCTGAAGTAGCCTTCCTGAGCCATTCGTTTCTATAAGTTTAATTTTCTGCAAAGAATTCGGAATATTTTTGAATTCACATGACCCTTCTTGTGAGTTGAGAAACAAGTTGAAAGAACCAAGTTTGTCTTCCTTGGTTGCTTCTGTTTGCTTTCGTGGCCTTCCCCGGCCTTTCTTCTTCTGGTTGATTAGCAGCTGAGAACGCTGATCAGTTGCTGTCTCAGAGAACCCTTTTTGTTGACAAAGAAGCGAATTCGACACAGCTATTGCATCTTCTTTAGTTGATTCCAATTGTTCCCTTGGCCTTCCTTGGCCACCTTTCTTCAGCCATTTGCTTAGCTGCTGAGGTTGTAAATTCAATGAATCAACCACTCCACTGTCTCCCTTTTCTTTCTTAGGCCTCCCCCGGCCATCTCTTTTCTGCTGCTGCCTTTGCTGCTCCAGTTTCTCGGAAGGTTTTTCCTGCTGCTGAAGATGCTCATTTGATGAGGTTGTTGTATCTTCCTTGCTAATTTCTAATTGTTTTTGTGGTCTTCCTTGGAACTCCCTCATCAACTGATTTATGTCCTGCTCACATTTTTCAAAGATAGTGGGCATATTTTCCTCTTCAAATGTGGCAGCAGGTGCTTCTAGATTATGAAGTTGGACATTATTTTGATTTTGTCCTTGACCTTCTATTTCACACTCGGGATTCTGCAAGAATTGGTCTGATAAAGGTGATGCGGTTATGGGCTGGTCTTGGTGTTTCTTTTGCTCACTTTGTAGATTGTCTGACGTCATATGTCCAGTTACAAGTATTCCTGATGGCTCAACCTCTAGATGAACTGTTTGCCTATCAATCTCCTCCTGACTTTTGATATTAATTTGGGAAAGCATGGAAGTTGTCTCTTTTACAATCAGATTGGTTACTGGTTCAGATGAAGCATCTATCCCTAAAGAAGTATTTACTGTCGGATTTGGCTCTTCATGATCTTCATGGCCTTTGATCTTGTCAAATTGGCGAAGCATGGAGGCCTCTTCTTCAACAATCAAATTAGTTTCTGGTTCAGGAGATATCTCTGTCAGTAAAGGAGACTTTGCTGCTGATTTTTGCACTGCGTCCTTTTTTCGCTTGCCACACTTCTTTAACACTGTTCGAAGAGGCAAATCATCGTCATCATCCACTGGCATAAGCTCTTCAAGGCCATTTGGGTGCAAAGGGTCCAAATTCTTCTGTTTCTCCAACTGTTCAATGGGACCATCTAAGAGCATAGATGATGATATGCAGGCTTCTTCACTTTCCTTGAACTTTGCAGAATCCATCAGTGTTGCAAAATGCCGGAAAATAATCATCACAAATTAGTTAAGAGGAAATTAAAAGTCAATTCATAAGTTATTTTCAACTAAATTTGGGAGAAAGAAGCACAACAAAGGCAACAGATAAAAAGGAAAAAAGTCTCAGAGGATCAGTTACCACTATCATCTAGTAAACAATCCATACCAGATGTAACTATACAGAACTTTTATACATTGTCAAGAAGTTAAGGTAGGAATAAACGCACTATGCAGTATGAAATGAACCATCTAATATCACAAGGTTAATCGAGGAATAACCACATAATGTTTGAAATGCTTTACTCTGAATGGCAACAAATCTGAAAATTCGAACATGAATTTGCCAAAATAACCTGTATTCAAGAAATGAGGGAACCCAGGTTAATCTCTGAGATTAACATTCCACTTTATCTCATCTCACAACTGTATGCATTGATTTTTGTGCCACTTTATTATTTCACTTTAGTTATTTAAAAAATAAAAGAAAAATATTATATTGTGAGAGGAGATATATTTACAGATTTATCTCAGAGATCAACTTGGATTTTCCCGAAATTAAATTGAATAGAAAAAGGAAACATTCAGACGTATAAATACACATCTTTTCATATATTTTTTTATTTGGGATGTTTCAAAATACTTCATATATTCTCCGCTTTGTATGTGGTTTATATATCAGACTTAACTTTCTGTCCTTCAATATTTTCTAACATACATCCAATTCTTTCCTTTACTAGACTATCATAATGTGTTTGGACGTAGAGTGTATATAGCACTCCTGTATGCTTGAATTCATTCCAAAGACGATTTTTTGAGCATCTACTAATGAGCACCGTACACTTACAGCATGCCAAAACCCATGGTGTGCAATAAACTTTCGGAAGTTGTTACTCCACACTTAATTTTATTATCAACTAGAGTCCTCTCAAATGAGCTAGACCTCAACAAAATGTTTTACATGAGAGAAATTCTAGCATGAAACATAAAAGTTGCAGAGCCATTTATGTAAGTCACCCTTATATCTTTTGAAAAGTGGATCATGTTTATAACAGTCAGTCACTCATGACCCGTCTCAGAATTATTCTTATCCTGAACATGACCATCCCATGTAGATTGTATGAGACCCCCATTCAAGTTCCCACCTCATTTTCCATCTGTACAACCCTTCTTTTGGCAATAACATGAGCCAAATTCTGTTTATTACTTTGACAGTTAATCAGTTACAAAATGAGAATTACCCTAAGGCAAATTTTAATATTCAATTATGAAAAGATCCATGTCTAAAAGATATTTATAACATAGCTAACAGAAGATAAATAAAATAATATAAGTACTAGGTTAGCATGATAATATTTACCTAATCAAATGGGTGTTTAGGAGTATAGAGTAATACTTTAAGGGGGTATTTAGGACTATATAATGAAAAATTAAAAACGAAAGCAAATCAAGAAGAATGTAGGAAACACGCTAACTTTTGCACATACCTTGCAACCAAGAGAACAAAATCTGGAGGAATCAAGGAGGCTGCGGCAACAAATTTCACATGTGTGGAAACCCTTGCCTGCAGCTGTCTGAGGACGGGCATTGAGGAACACAATCTTTGCACTATTAATAATGTATGTTTGAATGCCTGATATGTCTAGGTGCCTTTGTATCTCATTCACTCTCACCACATTGTTGTATGATGATCTTCTTACCTGCATCACCCACATTATCACCAATATTAGCCATAGAGTGATCTAAAATAGAAATAATCTGATCATTTAAGACAGGGGTATCAGATTAGAAGTTAAGTATGTTAGTCGACACCAGATTATTAATATTCAGTTAAGGATATGATATGAGTAATAATGATTTGTATACCTGAATGATACGATGATCCTGATTGTAAAGGGACAAACAATTGAGACAAAAGGCATCTCCCATGCAATCTAAACAGAACATGTTGCATTCATTCTTCTTTGAATACGCATGCAGTGAGCAAGAGATGAAGTACAGTGCCTTCAACATAGGCATCATCCATGGTGGCCCCGTTTCACTCTCTATCCCACTTGCCTACATTATCACCACCATGATATTTACATATATAACAAAGGTAAGCAATTGGAAACCATAATTGAGTCAGTATTGTGACTTGTGAGTCATGAATCTAGATCAAATCTAGTCATGCACGTGAATGTGTAAAGTGCACAAACACAAAACACAAAACACAAACCATATTACATGGAATCAGCTATAAGTTTAGACATGGATTAGTATCTGAGAAAGGTTATAGAGATGGAGTGAAGAGTGCTAGAAACATAGCACACACACTTGCAGACGCAGACACCAACCACATGACAGGGTCTGCTTCCCCAAAAAAGGAAAATTCTAAATGACAAAACAATTATTTTTAAATGTAAATTTCTAAAGATTCCAATAAATCAATAAAATCAATCAAAAGAATGATTTACAACAAGAATAACCCAGTGCTTTCCACAACATTTATTCACATAGCCTAGACTCCTTCCTTTCTCCATCACCAGACATTTTATTTCCCATTTTACTCTCCTCTCTGTCATTCTCAACACTCTTTTTGTTAAAGCTAAGTTTTTCAGTAAAGCTACATTACCTACATTTGGAAGTACAGGAGCCTACTTATTCTGTGAATCAGCACTTCAGCAGCAAATATGTGGCAGGAATATCGATGTGCATATGCAGATAGTTTAAGAAATAAGGATGAGTAATTTATGGTTAAAAACAATTACCTTTATTTTTATATCTTTATTCAATCATATTAGAGAAGGAAGTGTCTCCTTTTAACTATCCTAACAAAAACACCAAAGGCATACAACAAGCATTACAGGATTATGAAGTTAACAGTCTTCGAATGAAAAAACAAAAAGAAAACTTTTCCTCAATTCTATATGCTACATTGTGTACATAACCTAACATAATCTACATATGGAAGTATGAGAGCTTACTTATTATACTATTGTGATTGAGCAGCAAAGATGTGGCAGAATAATGTTGAAAAGCATACATAGATAGTTTAGGAAATATGGAAAAGTAATTTATTGAGAATAAAAGTTATCCTTTTCTGTTTTTTTTTTTTTTTTTTTTTTTTTGTGAATCATAGTTGAGAAGCAAGTGTCTCAATTAAACTATCTTAACAAATATACCAAAGGCGTACAGCAAGCATTGCAGGATCATGCAGTTAATAGTCTTTAAATGAAAAAATAATAAGAATTTTTTTTTTCCATGTTCCATATGCTACATTGTCTAGATAGCCTAACATGAGTCATTACTGGAATATCTTGATTGAAGTTTTTATGTTTTTTTTTGTCCTAATATTTCTGATGACTCTACTTTTTCTTCTGTTTCCAGTTTTCCAGGCCTTCAATAAGAAGATAAGAGTAGTCATTGATTTATCAAGTATATACAGAATTACAGCCATAACCACCAACTTATGTTAATTTTAATCAATACAATATAAGAGCAATTACACTAATACATAAAGTAAAGGACTAATCAAATAAGATTTCAGCTAATTCCAAAAATTTCAAACTTCAGAACTGTACCTTGGTTTCAAGACCTCTGTGAGACAAAAGCTCACGTTCCAGGTCGTGGTCAAGCAGATTTCGACCCACAGCTAAAGCTGGTTTAGATGGCATTGAATCCATATAGACTTCCATTTTTTGTTGGCCAACTTTCAATTTTCTTTTCAGGGGATTCTTACGCTCCTGCTGTTTAGGTAAAGCTGGGAGAGATGGCATTGATTCCAAAGAGGCTTCTGTTTTATCTTGGCTAGCTTTTGATTTCTTTTTTGGCTGATGCTTCTTTTCTTTTGGTGTTAGTACCTGTGTCAAACCACAGACAATCATAGGATTCATTCTCTCAGTTGACATTAGAGTATTATCTTCATAAGGAACTATCATAAGTTCGCTATCCTTCAAACTCGACTCTTCTACAGGAAGCTCAGCAGCATCACCTTGAACATTTGATACTGAAGAAGTAAATAAGGTTAATGATGACTTCGGCACGCACTTATCAGGCACAAGCATCAGTTCAGCAGCAATGGTAGCGGTATCATCATGCATATCCATCATTGTCAGACTACTGCTTATATTTCCCATATTCTGCTGTCTTACAGCAGCTGCAACTCCCCCAACTTCAATTTCATCATCTTCTTCAACAATAAATGAACTCCGCCTCCTCGGATTCACCCTGGTCCTCCCAAACATCAAATCATTGTCCTCTTCAGCTCCAACCAGATTATTACTCACTGCAACAACTTCTTCCCCACCTGCATTTCCCTCCTCACCCTTTATCACAAGCTCATTTCTTTCCCTAGGCAAATTCGGCTTAACCAGTTGTCTCCTCGAATTATGATCTTTGAATAAGGCGGCCAGTGCTGGTGTAGTGTAACACTTACTAGTAGAAGAAGTATAACACACAATTTCACCATTTTTACAAAGTTTACTCAAATGATGGCTTAAATATGCACTATGTGCCCATGGTAAACCATCATAATTTGCCTTAATATATTTCGAAATTGACTCCTCATTTGATCCATCTTTCTCATTCAACCCCTTTATTGCATTTTGTATCATCTACATAAAAACATTATGAAAACCTTGTTATATGTTGTAAAATCTAAGACTGTTATACTTTATTTTTATTATTAATAAAAACGCAACATCCTGCCACATGTCACTCTCTTAACGCGAAGAAAATTTTATTTATTTACGAGTATTTAATTACGAATATTTATTTGTCTTTTGTGTGTTCTATTACATTCATATCGACCTATAAATTTCATTTAAATGAGTCCTGTATACGTATTAGTCATTATTAACATTACCTTGTTTACAACCTCTCATCAATTATACTTATTCATTCACTTATAATTGCACCATTTCGTATTTTACGGTCATTAAAACATTCGTTTGACCATGAACATCTTTAATTGTAGATTAGTACAATTAACAAAATTTTAATATTTTGAAATTTTTCATTGAGATAGAAGCCAACAAATATCAAATGATTTGTTTTTCTTTTGTATTAATAAAAATTAACGGTAAAAAATTTAAACTTTGACCTTCGAAAGAGAAATGCAATTACTAGTGAATGGAAGTATTTTATTTCTTCTGAAATCATTAAATCCCAAATAATTTACCATGAAAATGTTCAAAAGCAAAGAATGATTAAAAATCCTAGAATATCCAAGTTACGAAAATCCCAGAAAAAAACAAAGACACAAAATAAAAAATAAACTCACAAAAAATCCAAGTTACAAAAAACCCAAAATAAACAGGAAAAAAAATAATAAATAAAATGAACTTACAGAAGCATAAGTGGGGTGAGTTGGAGTGTGAAGAACAGGGACAGCAAGTAAGAGTTGTTGTTGAATGAGGGCAATTTGGGAAGGAGTTAAAGAGGGTGTATTTGGGTTAGAATTAGCTATTTTAAAGATTGTTTCTTTCAACTTTTCCATTGGTTTTTTTAGGAGAGAGAATTTGAGGATCCTGCAATTTTATTTATTTTGAAGGTGATTGATTGTACAATTACATACATTCTGAGAAAAAGAGGAAACCACAGAATGAATGATCAGTTGGAGGAAGAGCGAGAGTGGCGCTGTTTCGCGTGTTTTATGTTAGAGAAACCAGGGTGAAGTATTTTTTATACCCATGTGCTAATTCCCACGTACTATGTCAACCATTTTTTATTGTAAAACATTTGTGTAAGATCTTCTCATCAACTCGTGTCACATCAACACCACCTTGGTGATCCTATCCCATTTTTTGTACTTTTCCAGCCCAAAATTCATTTATAAAGTATCTTAAATGGTAAGATGAACGTAATTTATGTATATTGCATTACTCCCTTCGTTCCTAAATAATTGTTATAATTAATTAATTATACATGTCAATGTATAAGTGTTGCCTTAGATTTATATGATTAGATTAGGTTAGGTTTTGTGTCATATCATGTGCGATAATTTCATAATATTTGATTTTAAAAATTATTTTTGTTATAAAAATAACATGGATAATACAACTTTAATATATTTATTCTGTTCTTATATTACAATAGATAATGAGATAAATCACTTAATATAACGTTAGAGTCAATAATTAGACAAATGACTGAAATGAGTATATAAAAATTACGTCTTTACACCATCTAAGTGTTCAAAAAGTCCGATGATAACTTAGTATCATTTTCTTTTTACTAACCAAATATTACATAAGTATTTTAAAATTATGTATTACACCCAATAGACAGGAATAATATCCCTAATTTAATGATATTAACCGCGGAGTATGATAATATGAAAATATTATATAAGATATACCAGAAAAATAAATAAATAGATTTTAATTAATCAAATTGACTTACATGATTACATATATAGATTAAGGGAAAAATTGTAAGGAATAATACGACCTTTCACCGATCTTCCAAAAATAAAACGACCTATTGATTATTGCATAATAAAACGACCTTCAAATGCACATGCTCAAAATAGAACAAATATTAAATAGGTTAAACTAGACACGTGTCTCATTGTGAATGGTTAGGATTTTTATTTTTTTAATTTTAACAATTAAATTTATTAATTTATTTTTTGAAAAAAGAAAATACCCACTCACAAGCCCCACCAATGGCACCGTACCCCGGCCCATCCCAGCCTCACCATTAGTATCCCCTGTCCTATCGCCGACCACCCCTTAGCCCGCCATCGATCGCTGAACACCCCCTCCCCACTGGCTGTCACCGAAACTCCCCACCATGACCATTATCCCCTAACCACAACCCCAACCCCAGATCCAACCCCTTTCTGTGTCCCCCTTACAGCTGCGATGGCTTTTAAAAGCCTAAGAAGGTGGGCTTTCGGAATATATAAGTGCGCGTTGGTGTGGTGCTTAATCAGAGCAGGGTTTTGGGTATGGCTAGTCTAAGGTGGGGTTTTGAGATAGTTATGCCGGTGCGGTGGTTTCTAAGAGGGAGCGTGTGCTGTGGGGGTTGGTGCAAACGGGTGATCGACAGAGGGGAAAAGGTTAGGCTTTGGACCGGCCGGCGGGGTAGGGTGGTTTGTGGCCGAGGAAGGAGTCTGGCTAACATGAGAGGGAAACTGGTTGCCAGGGCAGGGTGGCTGGTACGGTGTGGGGAGGGGTTTCTAAACAATATAACACCACATTTCACCAGTCTTCCGTAAATGGAACGAGTTCTGTATTATTTCAAAATGAAACGACCTTTTAACGCACATTTGCCAAAAATAAAACGTGACCAGTTGATAACCTGTTTAATAGGTTAACTGTGACACGTGTCACAATATCACTGGTCATGTTTTTTAATAATTTTTTTATTTAAAAAAAACCTTAAAATAATAAAAATACTTAAAATTAAAACAAAAAACTAAAATTAAAAAAAGGAAAACCCCTCCCCCTCGCCGGCAGCAACCCCACTACCACACGCCACCATCGTCGGCGCCTGAAACCCCTCCCCGTGCTGCCTTAACCATTTTGCCCCGCCGCCGGCGCCTGAAAACAGCTTGAAGATCTTCTTCTTCTCTCATTCAAGCTTTCTCTCTCCTCTAAAAAACCCCCAATTATCTAGCCCTCAAGAAATCGAGGTTTTACATTTTCATCTCAAGATTCGATTCGGTAGTGGGTTAACTCAGAGAGTGAGAATAGTAGCTCAGTGGCGTCGTTGGGATATGAGGTGGAGACGGCCGGCGGAGCAGCTAAATGGGTTCGTCGGCACAAGGGAAGGGGTTTGGGCGTCGGCCAGTGGGGAGAGGAGGATTTTCGAGGGGAAGGAGAGGGGTTTTAGGGTGGGGGAAGGTGGTTTAAGGGAAGGGGAGGTGTTGGGTCAGGAGGAGGTACCACAGGCGCCGGGTAGGGGGCTCTGGCCGCCGCTGCTGGTGGTGGGGTTGCTACCGGCAAGGGGGAGGGGTTTTCCTTTTTTTTAATTTTAGTTTTAAAATTTTTTTTCAAGTTTTTTTAATTTATGTTTTGTTTTTTTTAAAATCATTATTATTAAGGAAAAGTGTTAAAATAAAATAAAGATGTTTTAACCAATCACATATGTGACACATGTTAGATGTAACCTTTAAAACAGGTTAAAGGTTTTTTTGTTCCATTTTGACAGATGTGTATCAAAGGTCGTTTTATTTTGAAATAATTCAAAGGTCGTTCAATTATTAGAATATTGTTGAAAGGTCGTGTTATACCTGACAAATTTTTCAAAATCATTTTAAAAGTTTAATTATAAAAATTAAAAAAACCAACCAACCAACCACAATGTGACATGTGTCCAATTTAACCTATTTCACAGGTTACCAACCGATCATATTTTATTTTGAGTAGATGCATGTCAAAGGTCGTTTTATTCTGTAATAAACAAAGTCATTTTATTTTTGGAAGATCGGTGAAAGGTCGTATTATTCCTGACAATTTGTCATAGATAAATTTTTATTATGTTAAGTTATGTTGTTATACTCCCTTTATTTTTATGTTTTTTGCATTAGAATTGGGCAAGAAACCAAATAATAAAGCATTTATAAAACAAAACAAAATTTCATTTTATAATAATAATAATAATAATAATAATAATAATAATAATAATAAAGTAATAATAATAAAGTAATAATAATAAAGTAATAATAATAATAATAATTGGTTATTATATTAAGAAGCTAAAAATTGCATCGGAACATTAATAATTGTTGTGCGTTTTATACGCTTTGTGCTTTGTGATAGTGCAAAGCATAAATAAATACTTCGTAATGCATAAACAATTGGAAATTAAAAAAAAATAAAATAAAATAAATAAATAAATAAAATATCTTGAAATTTCTTAACGGAAAATATTGGAAGAATAAAATAAACAAATATTATTATATTTATTTAGTACTAATGATTGTACACAGAAGTGAGTTATGAAATAACTTGAGCTAAGCTAAGATGATTCCTTATTTTTTTTCTAGAGATTTCCTATTTAAAATGAGGAGTGTTTATTTTCACACTTGAGATCTCATACTTGAGATGATGATTATTCTCTTGTGTTTATTTTTATTTTCTGTTTGTATGACGAGAATTGAAGAATTAGAGTTTCATAATCTCTATAAGAATTCAGAGGACCACTTTATTATTTTCACTCAAATGACTACGCATGAGTGGATTTCAAACCAAATCAGAGCTAACTCACATATTCTATGGCTTCAGCTGAAGTTTTTATTAAGGCGATTATTGATCGAATCTGAGATGTATTTATTTAGTTTTAAGGTGTTATGTACTTGTGTCGTGACTCTTGAATTCTTAATTAGGAATTATATGTAAGTGTCATTTGGCTATATTTTGTTAATAATGAAATCCCTTTTCTTCTTGTAAAAAAAAATAAAAATAAAAATTTGAGGAGTGTTTATCAAAATCGAATATCTAAATATGATTTGATATTGAAACTAATTTGACTTTTAAAATATTATTGATTCTAAATATATACTGCCTCAGTTCCTGAAAGTTCGACTCACTTGCTATTCATCTGGTCAAAATAAAATAACTTTGACCACATATTATGATTTATATAATAGAAATAAATTAGTAAGAGAGGTCTTATTAGATTCCCCTTAATATAAAATTTTCAAATATCAACTTTTTATAATTTTCACTTATACATAACCGAAGATATTCATGGTCAAAGATGTTCATTAGAGACCGTACAAATGCAAAGTGAGTCAAACTTTCGGGAATGGAGGGAGTATTTATAATTGATTTTAATTTGTTTAATTGTAACCTATTTATGAAAAAAATAATATGTTAAACTTTATATAGGAGGGAATATGTTTAAAATATTTATAATATTTAAAATAAGGGGAAATTTTGTAGGAAAAAACAGCAATAGAAAGTGACTTGTGTCATTTCTGGTGTCTGTTTTAGTATATATATATATATATATATATATATATATATATATAGGGTGGGATCATGTGAGAACCAAGGCTTATGATTAGGGGATTTTTCCCCACCAATCACCATCTGACAAGTGGACCAATCAGGTTCCGCCATGTGTCCGTCACATGGGCCAATAGGAGCCTGCCACGTGTCAAGCAATGATCCGTCCACTATGGACCAATTACGACACAACACGTGTCCTTCCCATGACACCTGGGATAACCGGTCACCTAGGCCCAACTTCCGTGGGAAGCCCAATCAGCCCAAGGTTAACCTAAACCTAGATTGACACGTTTCCCGAGGTTATAAATACCTCCCTTAATCCTCATTAAGGGAGATTACGCAGATTACACACATTAAACTCTCTCACCTAGAGAGACCCAATCACTTTAATTTCCGCATTAATTACTCCTTAATCAAGTACTAACTTGACCGTCGGAGGCGGATCTCCAATCATCCGGAGCATCCGTTTGTTTTGCAGGTACAGGCGCCCGGTTCCAGCCTCGGAATTGTAACTCTCCCGCAGGACATCAGAAAACCCCGAAACATCTTGGCGCCGTCTGTGGGGAGAGTACTTCTGAGATGGCATCCACGTTTGTACCGGCTCCTGAAGAGAGACGTCCCCTGGACGACCCTCTAGTTCAGTCGGACCACGATACTGAGAATGAATTTGAAGTTGAAGCTCACACAGCTTCAGACGGGACCCTAAGGGCCCGACGTACCCGTCATACCGAAAGGAGGGAACGGGAACATCTTCATACAGGAAGCGAGCCAGCAGGCGCACCGCCTGTTCGGCAGCAGCCGACTGATGGGTCTGCTCCCATCACAAGGAACGAACTCATGACCTTCA